TGTCCTTCCGCCCGCCCAGCTTCAAGATGCCGGCAGAAGGAACGGCGCACGATCCGATGCACATGGTTGCAGCGGTTGGAACATGTCATGACAGTCCTGTGAAGATGGCCACAACTGGTTGGAATATTAACACCCATCAGACATCCAAACAACAAAACAAAACCAAACAAAAAAAGGAAAAACAACACAAACCAACAACACCAAAACCAACTCAGCAATCAGCATCACTTTGTCCAACCTGACCTTTCACCTGTGACTGACACCCTTCATTGACCCATCTGAGTCGGGATCGACGGTCGGCTCTTTCTTGGAGGATTTTGTCTTCATCAAACAGCGAATAGCGCCCTACTTGTAGCGCCCTACGCAACACCTCTCCATCCATGCTTTTGGTCAAACAATCAGCAAGCATGGCCTTGCTATTTACCCAACGTAGCCGACAGTTCTCTTCTAGTCTTTCTCTAATGAGGAGACATTCCAAGGTGGTCCGATGTTCTGAGCACGACGGTGTTGAAGTCTTGGTTGCTATATCATATACCGACTTGCAACCAACGATAAAATTTTATTGGGATCGGACCAGTCGGTCCCCGGGTTTTTCATGAGTTCCTAGAAGATTCGAACCCAACTCAAACAGTCAAGGGCAGAACCAAGAGCAACAGCCTCAGCACTTAAGGTGCTTCGCACCACACGAGGAATTTTCCTAGATGACAATGCCACCGGGCAAATCACGGTTCGATGATTCCCCACCAGCTTTCCATCTGTCGCAAAAATCGGGCACGTGACGAGATGGATTTCCCTTAGTCGATTCAAAAGATGCGTCACAGAATGCACAAAAAGTGACTTCAGATTTGCCTATGGGCACAATCATCAAGGAAACAGCCTTTGTCTCTGCTTCATAGAGGACCCGGTTGGCACTAATTAAATGTTCAATTCGGCCACATGGGATAGCTGCTTGGAGTTCCCCCACCTTTGCAGCGAGGTCGGGCCTTGTGTGCACAGCAGCATATTGAATGGATCCACATATTTGACGAAGCATTTGAGTCTCCGTGGCTGTCAGTGGTGACTTTGGATCGACACGGCGACTTCTTGGGATTTCGATTCGGGAGATCTTCTGAATGTATGAACTTTGCTCCATCCCAATGGACCCATCATCCCATTGAAAATACCTAACCCCACAAAATTCAAACTCCCCCTCTTTGTAGGCCCCAAAACTATAGATCTCCCGGAGCTTCCCAATGACTTTCCCAAAATATTGATCTCGATCCCATCGTCGACGTGGATGCCTAAACATCCATGGGCCTTCGCTCGGCCCTGACTGTCAGTGGATACCAAACTGAAGACGCATCCATCCAAAGGGTGGACAACGAAAACCAAAGGCTCTAAAGTTTCCCGGAGCGTTCTATACCACAGAGTCGGGGCATCAGCTCTGCCATATGCACCACCCAGGAGCTGGCATTGATCGTCAGGTTTCATGCCAGTGGCTTTTTGCAAGTCAGGAGGCGCATGAAGTCCCAATTGTCTTCCATTGCCAGCCCCTTTGAGGAACGCAGTGGAAATGTCAAAATTAATGAGCCTCCATCCCGTACTGACAATCTGCTGTAAAACTAATTGCTTCCCATCTTTGGAGAGAGTCGGGGCATCAGCGGCTATGGTTGACAATTGTGGGTCTTCAAATCCAAAAACAACGGGCCGAGCCTTTGCTCGTTTTTCGGTGAGTCCAGGAGCAGGTGGTTTCCAGGTTAAGATCCAGCGACACCTCATGATCTGATCATCCCTCAGTGTCCCCTTTGAAACACGCTTGACAGTTTCACGATCTACCTAAGCTTTGATTTCCTTTTCTTTTGCAGCCTGGAAAAGCTTTTGTTCAGGTGCACCGAGTGACTTCCATTGGACTTCCACTCGCTGTTTTCTCGCCCCAGTTGCTAAATTGGCCCATTCAATAATTTCATGATTCTCACAGAAGCATATCTCCTCTACTTCATGATGGGGACCATTACTAAACCCGATTTCCCAATAACCGTCAGGCCCCTTCTCAGTCTCTACATCATCCCCAAACCAAATATCATCATCATCAGGGATAGGGACCTCTTCGGGGACAACAAGTTTTTCGGGTTCTTCAGGGTCCCCTGCAAGAGAGGGAGAAGGAGATATTGATGTTGGGCATTCAGATGGAAAATTCTCACCTTCCGGTTGACTTGGCAAATCGCTATGAGCGTTGCTGAGCCCTGGTGGCTCGTTGATTGGGTCCCCGTCTAAATCTTGATCCTCAGGGATTCCTTCCAGCTGTACAAAGTTCCGGCAATTGCTACGGATTTGTTCCGGTACAATTCGTCCTGAAACATCACGTGGAGGCATGATGTTCTCGCAATGACGCTGGCCGCAATTGTTGCGGACTGGCTCTCACAAGATAACCCCCATGGCTAATCTAAACACCTCTTGACCCCTCAATAGTCACAATTTGACCAGGCCCATGCCAACGGCCACGTTCCCCTTTTAGGTTCCCCTTGCAACACCCAATCACCCTTGGAGTATCCATCAGGGTCTTTCCGGGGACGTCTCAAGAGAGCTCTCCGCAGAGCGTTGCTGTTGTCTGCCAATAGACATGCTTTTCGAGCCAGCTCTCGTTTTCGCAGGCTCTCTCGAAAATCAATGCCCTCCTGCGAATTGGATTCAGCCAAACTATGTGCTGCAGCAGAAGAGTCTGACACTAGGGACGCAGGTAGGGCTCTGGCCTTTCCCAAAACAGCTTGCCCAGGGGTGTACGCAGCGATAGCACTCAATGAGTTCTTGGCAGCAAATACTTGTCGCAAACACTTTCGAAAATCTTCGGGGGATACTATGGATTCCTCTGCATCCATTGCTGTCAGCATTTGTTTGACAATCCTGCCATGAGCCTCTACACGCCCAACTTGCCAGTGACTTTCGCCGGCGGCCACCGAAAGTTGAATCCCTTCCTTTTGAAGAAACTCATGCCAGCGGTCGTTTAGGTACTCCCCAGCCGGATCTAAGTACATCTCTTTACATGGACCAGCCCATTCAAGCCACACACTCTCAAAAGTTTCAATTTGTTCTTCCACACTCCGACCACTTGGTGCCCCCAAATGAAATAGAGTTGCCTCGTCAATAAAATGCATGAAATGAAAACGGCGACCCTGTTTATTGGTCCAGTAGGCACCATCCCCACCAACACAATCATTGAACTCCTTTGGGGAATAAATGGTGGCTGGATTTGGAAGTTTTGGTCGTATTTGATTCTCAATGCACGAGTCACACTGATAATATTGTGCTGCTTTCACGACCTCTACAGATGCTCCTTGGTCCTGAAGTGCCCGACTGAGTTTTTCAGGGGATGGATGTCCTAGGTTAGCATGCAACCTCCGGAGATCAGCTTTCTGATGGTTTTCCAATGACCCAAATGCGGGACCACTTTGAAGGGTTACCTTTGGTGGCCACCCCTGATACCCCATATTTGCTGAGACTCCGGGGTTGACCCAACTTGTGAGCCCCCTTCCCCAAGGCCTAAATCACAACCCAATACTCCTTGAGGGACCCCACATCCACTACTACGCTCACTCCCCATGCGTTCGAGGTTTGAAGGTTCACAAACACCAGATTTTCCGCCCGTCGGTTTCAGGACCCCAAAGCTGGTAATGGACATTCGGGCTGACCCTGCCCTTCGGGTCTGTTTCATTCAGCCTTGGCAACACTTTCCAATTTTCAGGGGGGCCCCTACCTACAATCTCTCCAGTTTCCCTGTCTACCAGAACTGTCTTCCTCCACGGCATGTCTTCCCCTTGGGCAAGGTTCCCGGGAACACGAAATCGTTCCGTGCCACGGCACAGAATCGCAAGTTTAAGCTCTAGCTCAGGAACCATCAACTGAAAGAGAGGGAACATTGGATCCCCAGGTCGGACATTGAAGTTCCCTATCCGTGGAACCGCAACATTGCAACGCCTGATGACCTGAGTCCATGTAGGACTTTTGCCATAACCCCGGGCATCATATTCAAGGTCTGCAGGTCGTGGTGGCCCTTTAATTCCGTGCCCCTGTCGCTTTGGACTTGGCTCGTCCGCTGGTGCCGGTTCAGGTCCGTCCTGTTCCCCAGTTGCAACAAAAATGTCAATGGGTGGTTCCTTAATCTCACATTCCTCCAGTATGACACGTGCCATGTATGCCCCAAATGCTGGTGAACATGCTACTGCATATGCTGAAACATTCGTTCTTCTCCCATGAGTTTTGATACTCCCCTGAATGGTCTCATGTTCACGGTCATTCAAACATCGCTTGTCATGCAAGTGATGGTGAACATAACCACAAGATGTCTGGAAATTGGTTCTTGTCCGGAGATATTTCTTTTGTTGGGGAAGCTTCAAACGACCGAGGCGACACATGTCTAAACATGATAGAAATGTCCCTGACACCATATCGTACAATTCTGGTTGACTTGTCATACATGATTCATTTGGCTGTTCCCGGTGCGCATGTCTTGTCAGAGAAACTTGATGAAGAAAAATGTCATTGCATAGGCTAAGGTGGCCCCAATTCAACCGTCGTTCATGAACAATCCGGTCAAAGTCTTCCAAGCTGCGTGACATATTCAAGTTGGAAAATTTCCCATACAATTTGCACTCTGGTGCCAACCAAATGCGCCGGGGTTCGTATAGATAGATCCACCTGGACTCTTCCGTGCCTAGGTCCCCATCTTCTCGAAAAACGCTTGGCCCTGCCCCCATACCTTAATATATTTTGGGTAAGTTGGGATTGGGGACCGTGATAAACTTCCAAGAGGTCCAGAGGCCGACTTTGCTGTGATTTCCGTGAGAAATCATTGACCAATGCCCAGTTATTTCCCTCTAAGCCATCAAAACTCTTTTGGGGGTCAGACAACCCGCCCTCTACCTCGAGAATCTTTTGTTTGATGGCATCATGAATTTGTTGTTCCTGGTCATTGGTCAATCCGATAGGAGGTTGGTCGTTCATGATGTACCTGGCTGCCTTTTCAATCAGTTCTCGTTCTCCTCGATATCGATCTGGGACACCTGAGTCTCGATTGCCACCTCTCGTTCCAGAATTGCGATTTGAGTCCTCAATTGTTGAACTCGTTGCTGATTGATCTCGGTCTCCATCACCGGAGCTGAACTGGCTGCCACGCTTCAGTTTCCGGTTGGGCTCGGCACTGATGGATGGTCTTGCCCTTCTCGACATGCGTCCACTCCTGACATGTCACCTGTAGACTCACCTTCGGTTCGGTTGTCTTGATCTCTGACTTCGGTGCTGCCATCGCAGCTGCGGCTGGCTTCTCTGAGTTGATCGGCATCGGCTTCTGAGTGATCTCCGCTGTCGTGGATGTTGGACCTGGGTCTGCATGCTGTCTCATCCGGCAATACATCTGGAAACTTCGGAGCCAGGCTGAGACTGCACGCCTGTTCCAGATCTGATGAACATACCCCAGGTCTGCGTGAGCTTCTTCGAAACTCTTGCCGGCATGCTTTCGCGACGGGATCTTTGTCTGACCCCACTGTCTGAGGGTTGAAATCCCCGGTGGACACTGGATGTCCTCCTGAATGGTATCCGGATATTGATGGGCTCCCCGAAGATTCGGGTCCACCTCGATCGTCAAGGGAACATCGAGATATCCCTTGCTGCTCATGGCTGTTTCGCTCAATTTGTTTCCACGCAAAATTGTGGTGGGCTTGAGGGCGAGTGGCATCATCATCATGGTTATCACAGTTATCACATGTTTTCACGTGACAATTTGAGGATGAAGCCAACCTTTCCTGTACATGTTATTTGGACATCTTTTCTGAAATTTGGACATGTTCAAGATTACTGTTGTGAACTCTGGTTTCTTCCCCATTACTGTCGTGTAAATTTTGGAGGGTGATCTTGGGGTTTTCGGGCCCCCTGATTCTCGCAACTCACTTCCTCGATTCTACTCTGTCCCATGGCCATGTGTGTGACATGAATATCATGAATCATGGATGGTTCCGTATCATTTCCTGCAAGATTCAGAATTCTTGAGAAATCCACACTCATGAGATTTTTGCGACATGTCCCCAGAGGAATGCTTTCATTATGACCCTTAAACCAAATCCTAACACTCCTCAACATCAACACCGGCTCTCAATGATTTCAACACTGAATTGGACAACAAGAACGGGGTTCGACCTGGCACGGCTTCCACATACTTCCACTCTTATCCAACCACCTGTTTTCCTTGGAAAAAAGACAGCAAAGGTGCTTTTGAGTGTTCCGGAGTTTCCGAAGCGAAAAGTGACACCTTGTCCTGAACCTGACAAGCCTTGATCAAATCACCTAGTCGTTCATGGCCGATTACAGCCCTACTTGCTCTAGTGTCAATGATAGCTTCATGATTCTCCTCTTCAACCTGGAACTTCGGCCGGGTCCTCACCCTTGGGTGAGTCAAGCATGACCACTTTCTGGTCTTGCTCACGAGTGGGCGGCGCCGGAGATGGCACTGAGTCGGTCGTGCATTTGGCCAGCACATCAATTCCATGTTTCCTACAGCATGAGACCAGTCGGTTGTGAAGATTGTGTGAAAACTCCATGTTTTGAGAGGGATCCCCAAACTTTGAAGCCTCTTCACACCCGAAACAGTCCATGGCCCCCGTAGAAATTTCCAAACATTCATGAACCCTTACTGCTATGAGTCCTGTTTGTTCCCAGTGCTCCTGCCACTTCTCCACATTCTCCGGGAGACGGTCGACGACCTCGTGAATTGCAATCACGTCAGTCTCAAAGGGCTCCGCAGTCATGTTGATGATCTCCGACTTGGAATTGGCTTCAGCCTTTTGTGGGCACTCACGTTTCCAGATGCGGCAGGTGCTGTTGGCAATGCGGTCTGCCAATGACCGCCGTCGGCCACCGCCAGCACCAAATTGCTGACTGCTCATGGATGCTCCTTTGCCCTTCTTGGCTCCCTTGCTTTTGCCCTTCCCCTTGATGGGCCAAAACCCACGAGCGCGTGCGCGCTCTCGCACTCGTGCCCTGGCTTCTTGATAAGAGACAAAGCAGGAGGCCAAATTGGGGCTTTCCTGAATCGTCTCCACGATCTGGTCCTCAAAGTCCAGGATGAACGTGGCGTCTTCGTCTCCTTGATCAGCCATCAGTTGGAAGGCCTGTTCTTCATCAAGCTCTGGAGTCTCCCATTCCACAGCTGCCTGGTTGATGGTCTCTTCTTCGTCCATCGTGTAGGCATCATACGTTTTCTTCACCTGTGGATTGCGGCCACCTTGAAGATCTTGAAAGAACTTGGAACCCAGCAATCTCATGCTGCGTCGGGCAGTGTCATAGGTCAGTTGGCCACCATTGTCCATGATGATCTTCTTCCTGTCATCTGACGTCAAGGCTGACTGTCGCACCAAGACGTATGCTCGGACATCTTGAAGCGTCACTGCTTTCGCCCTCGAAGGCGATGTCGTGACGAGCCAAGCAACTATCATTGGTCTCGTCCTGCTTTTGAGTCACCATGTACAAGGCCCGCTCGAAAAGATCGTATCGATCTTCGGCCCCACTGCCCTCCAAGGGCTTCAATGAGATGCTTCACTCCATCTTTGGATCTCAGTTTCGATGACTCCAGCCTGGTGATTTTCTGGAATGCTGCACCTTCGATCAGCAACGCAGCTCGAGGAGCTAAGTGTACCAGGTGCTCCTCAGGCCATATGGAATGCAGGAGCTGAATCTTCTGGCTGTAGACCCGGAGATCTGTCGTGCTCGGGTCAAACCGAGGGATCTGACCCCATGGCAGAGACGTAGGAGGCAGCGTCTGAGTTGCGGATGGATCGGCTGCTTCCGCACTCCCAGACATTGCTCAATCAGTTGACGCTTGTGTGCTGTCCCATTCGTGTAGGACCCCAAAATTGTCTAAAAGACCCTTGACCCTGTCAACCTTAGAATTATTGAGCACTATTATGCGGGAGCTTAGTGCTCCGCTACCAATGTGAATCCTTCCCCAAGATTGAGGGTTTACCCCGAAACTCCCTTACTCCAATCAAGTTAAGAAACCCTGTTTCTCTGCCGTCCAATGTCTAATGTCCTCCTGCCCGCCCAGCTTGAAGATGCCGGCAGCAGGAACGGCGCACGATCCGATGCACATGGTTGCAACCGTTGGAACATGTCATGACAGTCCTGCGAAGATGGCCACAACTGGTTGGAATATTAACCATATAAAACATTATATATATAGAGTTATATATATAATTATATGTAATTATATATATATTTATATAATTATATAGTTATATAGTTACATATATATATATATATTTTTGGGCTTGTATGGAAATGGCTAGGCAAACTAATGATTAACTAGCGTAATTTTTTGGGCCGACATTTCTAGACAACACCATGTATGTTTGGATCTTTGGGTGGTAGTGGCTGCTTCCTCAGAATTTCTTTTCTACCAAAAAATCTGTCGGCAATAGCTGGGCTGCGTGGTGGCAGGCACGTGGTATGCCAGCGAGCGAAAAGCAAGAAAACACCCGTTTGTGAAACGCTTCCGGACACACTTGAAACTCAGAACAGATCTTTAGCATGTCCCTACTCCCAATCTATTTCTGTTGCGCTTACAGACAGCAACATCGCCATTGTGGAGAAGACTGGCAGCAAGAAATGGGTTCTTGTGAGAACGAAGACCCCTTGCGATTGCAGATTTTGGTTCTTTGTATAAACCAAAATTGGGATACCTCATTCTGACCCAAGGTTCCTGTCATTCTCAGCCAAAGACAGTTTCCCCAACCGCGTTATACACAGCCTGGTGGGATGCTTCCGAAGCATCAAAAAATGGTTTGGGGTTTTGGGGTGAACGAAACCCATTGCGAAGCATCCAACCTGGTTGAGAAAGGGTATGTCAAGCCTAGTTATCATGACTTATCTATTTATATCTATCGTCTATCTAGCTATATCTATCTACAGTATCCATCTAGGTCTAGGAAGATCCTACGGATGGCATCCATGGCACGTGTGTCTTCTTGCAGCTCATCCGGCCGCCCATGGCCTCTCTGTCACTGTATGGGCCCGGGCAACTGAGCGATTGAAACAGGAGCGAGTATACTGAGCTCCCTGTGGCTCTTGAAAAGAAGAACGTGGTTATCCAAATTATAGGGATCTAAAGGGGATATATGGCATTTCACGCGATATTCATGGTATTTCATGGGATATTCATGGGAGTTAATTGGAGGAGGAATCTCAGCTCGTCATTGAATGAATTCTGCTGGAAAACTGTAAGTTGCAATCCAGAGTATCGCAAAGTATCGCACGAAGTCTGGAAATATGCCAGACTTGTCCTTGTTAAGGCTCAACAACAGTAGCCATTTGGGCACATGTGGGCATTTTCTTAGTGAGTTTGCTATCAAATGCAGCAGATTGCTTGACAAAATGGTTATCAAGACTGAGTGCCCAATAAATCGGATTGACAATCCCAGAACTCACCAACATCTGTGGGTTTGGAAGTCAGCATCTCCTGGGATTTGCTGACAGACAGAAAGAACACGTCACAGAACGCTACAGATAGTTGAGCCTTTAGTTGAGCCTTCATTTCTTGTTTTTTTTTGGGCGTTTCCTTGAGCGTTTCCTGTGATTTGGTTTCCAGTTTCTCTTCCTACTGAGCCATGCCCAAGATGCTTGTGTTATACATGTGCCTTGGTTGGTTTCGCTGGGATTTGGGCGAAAATGCGAAACTTAACTAGCAAATCAGCCAAATTTCGGAGGTTCCCCTCGACAACCACCTGTGGTGAGGTAGGCTAGTAATTTTGTCTAATTTGCCTACGATTGCCTACGTGTGTCATTGTTTCGTAAGTTAATCGCTATAAAAGCAGGGACTACATGCCCAAGCCTAACTATCAACGTCAGAGTCAACTGGACATTGCTTAAGCGGTAAGACTCGATGGCAAAACCCAGGAGGTTTTGGTAAACAAAGGACCTGCGCATCTTGTGTATTCCCGCGTTCATATCGACATATATCAACTCACATATCCCAAACAAAACCCTGGTGTTCGACAAATCATTCTCGGTGCCAGGTGGTATTTAGGTTGGGGGGATGGGACCGACTATCGTTATCAGTCAGTTTTTTTTAACTCATCGGATTTCAGCGGCTAGATTTCCTGCGCTGTTTTCTTTTTGGCACACAAATTCGTTTTCAAACTTTCAAACGAAATTGCTCTAGATCCATAGGCGGGGTGGCGCATCAAAAAGCCTTTCAAAATGCTTCATAGTGCCTTCATCCAAAAAAAGTGTGCCGTGGGCATCGCAGAAACCTTCAGGCATGTCAAAATGTCGGTACCCCAATTCACGGTCCTTTCACGCTGTGGAGCTCCTTTCACGCTGTGGGAGGTCCTTTTCACGCTCATTCACATAGATTCACGCTCAGATTCGCTTGCCTAAAAATTTTGCAAACATGTAGAACAAAAGAACCATGGTAACTACTTTCTTTTCTACTTTAAAAGTAACCACAAAAATCAAGTTTGGATTGGCTGGTCGCTGCAGTAAAACTGAATTAGCCAGCTTCGATGGATGTTGAGTTGGGAAACCAGAAACTGTTTGGGCAACATGCGAGCTTGGGTTGCCCTTGGGAACTATGTGGCTCAATATTCTGCGCTCGGAGGTTGCATCTTTTTAGCATTGCGTATTTGC